GTCCTCCCCAACCTGAGGTCTGAAGGCGATCCCCTTGAGTCCGGCTTCTATCACAGCAGGGAAGTCCCGGTCCCTGCACAAGAAAATGGAGGTGAAGAATTGGTTAAAGAGGTCCGCTTTCTCCTCTGACGCAACCACCAGATTGCCCAGCGTATCCTGCAGGGGTCCCACATTACCCGGCGCCACGTATTGTTTCTTCCTCCATTTATTCCATGGTACAGAGCAAATAGCTCAGACTAACTTTGGGGATGCTTAAAGTATCTTTGCATTTGATGGTGGGAAAAAGATAATGTGTTCCAAGCGCTGAAGTTATGTCTAGATTGTGAATGGTTCCAAAGAGAATCTCCTTCCAGTCCAAGCTACTGCATAAAGAGTCCCTGCATCTCAGTATAATTTTTTCTGCTTCAAAAACAATAGAAAATGGTTCCTATCGGGTCAATTATTTCTGGATTTAAATCTCTTACATAATATATTCTTCATGTTGTTTGTATCTATTTCTTTTACATTTAATATTGATTCCTTTGAAGTCTATTCTCAAGATACCTCTCCAAAATATTGTTGTTCTTCCCAGGCTGCCCAGCTGCCTCTGGTTTGTAATCCAGACTGTGCAAACTCCATCTCTTTGCCAATGGTAAACCACTCTGTGAACCAGAGCCAATATTCATGACCCGCTTGTTCCTCTGGCTATAGAGCCATTGTTCCAGAAAAAGAATTGAACTTGGCTCTACTCTGCTGCAAGTCCCATGCTGCCTGTTGTATCAGCAACCCATGTCTCCAGAAGTATTTGCCCACTTTAGAAATCTCCAGCATCAGCAGCAAACTTATCCAAGGCATCAAAGCAAAAACCGAATCAAGCAACTGAGAGAAGAATCATACTGCTTCTCTTTGCTTGGGACCTTATTCAAGGCTTCTTACTGAAGTTTTGTACACTGAAATGTACTGGTCAGGTTCTTAACCCAGCCTGTTTCTGCTTTTGAAGTTTCCCTCTTTTATTCTGCTTTCTTAACATCAAGATGCAATGCATTTTTTATGCTAATAAACATTATTTCTCTGGCACAGCAAATCTGGCTCATGCTGTTATCTATTCCTTTTTAGTATGTTCCTGGCATGTATTTTACCAAGAACCATTGTACACATTATATTTTATATAAATCCTGTGGAAAGAGTTTCCTTAATGAGCTGACAGACTGATTAACCTTACCTATGGCTTCCTGGCTATAAACCCCACCCTTAGTCCTTGACTTCATTTGCTAACCCTCAAAAGTAGAAATACAGTACTAATGCTCCATGAAGAGGGTCAAAGATTCAAAAAAACAAAACATAACAAATTCCTCACTCAATATTTAAGGGCCTTAGGCTGTTCCTATTGAAGTCAATTAGAGTTTTGCCACTGATGAAAAAATTAAAAAATGTTGAAATAATTTGTAAGCAGAGTCTCATTTTTAAAAGTGATTCAGTTACATCAAATCCACTTTAACTGAAACAGAAGGTAAGATTTACAAACACAACTGGAGTTAGATTCTTAAGGCCTTTATATGGCTTTGGAGGCAGGTAAGTTCTTAGTTTGATTTTCAAAACCCTCTAGGCCTGTAAGACAAGGTTCTTTGGGTAAATCCAATATCTTTTATTAGACCAACTCAAATAATTGGAAAAATTCTTCTTAGCAAACTTTTGAACACAAACACCCTAGGTCAGGCTGAGGAAGTGTCTGCAGATGGTCTGTGCTCTTCCTGGCTAGAGTGGTAAAGCAGCCAGAGGCCAATACATAGGCCTGTAACACTTTTAGTTTTTAGTGGGAACCAAAACTACTTATGTTTTCTACCCACAAAGCTAAGCAAAAGGAAATTAGTATGCAAAAGTAAAATACATCTATACACAACTCATTATAAAATTAGAGGACTGTATTGATACAGAGCTAAGACTCACTGGTATGCTGCCTTCAGTCCAACCCATCTTACCTGTCTCCCCTTCACACACAAGGAATGGGAGAGGTAACAGAAAAAGATGACCCCACCCACACATCAGATGAACAAATCTCACAAAATAACCCTTTGAATACAGGCCAAAGTACAATGTACAGTGACTCATGCATGTTGCCACAGTATTGTGTAGATGCACCGGCAATCCATAGTGAATGGTATCAAAGGCAGATAAAAGATATAAAACAGGGGTTTTCAACCCTTTAAAATCTAAGTACCCCTGGTGACCAGACACCAAGTGCAGAGGGAAGGCAAAGGGGGATAGTGCACGGGCAAATGCTGAGCTGGGGAGGCCTGGGGGTAGCGCGTGGCCAGACACAGAGCAGGGAGTCAGGGACAGCATGTGGGCAGGTGGGGGCAGAGCACTGCTGCCTCCCAGGAGCAGTGCCAGGGCAGGGCAGGTAAACTCACCGGGCTCAGGCAAGGGCAACAGCACCTCTCTGTGGGGCAGGGAAGCTCACTGGGCTAGTGTGTGGTGGCCACGGCCAGGTCATATGAGCTTCCCACCCTGCAGAGGGGCGCCACTGCCCTTGCCCTGCCCTGGCACTGCTCCTGGGAGGTGGTGACGCTCCATCCCTGCCTGCCTGTGAGTACCCTCTAAGACCAATCCAAGTACCCACAGGGATATGCGAACCCTTGGTTGACAACCCCTCATATAAAAGTATCAGTGGGGGCATGTCTAGAATCATAGAAAAGTAAGTTTGGAAGTGACCTCTGGAGATTTTCTAGTCCAATCCCTGCTGAAGGCAGGATCATGCCTATTCAGACTCTCTCATAGAAGTGTTTGTCTAACCTATTCCTAAAAGTAAACAATAAGCCCAGTCACACAACTACAAGTCATATTGCTCCAAAACATCAAGAGCAACCTAACCTTCCACAGGTAAAGCTGGGAGATGAAGTCCGTCAGTGTCCTGCCGCTACAAGGGCTGTTAAAATATACTTGAGAGATCCAAGGAAGAAAGCCACAACCCCCCTTGCTGAGAAAGACAAGCCCCCACAATCCATACAAATTTAACAAGGGAGTAAAATTCCTTCCCGATTCCAAACATGGCAATTGGTCTGACCGTGAGTGGAGGGGCAAGACTCTCTAACCAGAAACCTCTCAGTTTTAGTCCCAGCATTGAATCCTGTAGGAAACTTCCTATTTATATACTTCTAAGTATGGATTATGGAACCATTTACCTGCAGTACCTGGGTAATGCAACACCCCAGCAGCAGCAAGAAATGAATACATGCAAATCATACCTCTGCTGTGAGGGTCTTGCAAGAGTATCTTACATACATCATCCCTTTAAATAAAAGTATGTGGACAATCGAGGGGGAAAAAAAACAACCCAGTGATAATGTAAGGCTGTGAGTTCACTGGCAGGAAAGCTGTGAAAAGATCTCAAAGTATTAAAATCTTCCAGGTTGCCTTCAAATCCATTTCACGTTCCCTTTTATGCAGGTGGGCAGAAGCAGGGAGTGGGTAGAAGCTTGGTATCTTCCCTCCAGTGTATTTGCCCATGCACCAAAACGGATACAAACTGGACCCAACTACATGAGACATTTCCTGCAGAGTTGGTTAATTAGCTCCACAGTAAAGTGTTTACACATGTGGCCCTATTTGGCTAAACTACTTAACTTCGCCATAGGTTAGTACTTATGTTTACATCCTATGGTGGTGTTCTTTAGAGTGCAGAAACACGTGTAGACACTGATAGGGCTGGCTGAGGCACACACTGGGGCACCCTCAAGCCCCAGCTAGCCTTCCAGCTAGCCCCACACTGGAGCACCCTCATGCCCCAGCCAGCCCCTCTGCAGCACATTGTACCAAGTCAGAGACACCCTGGGCTGGCAGGCTGACCCCCTGGGCCCCCTGTGAACCAGGGCTGCTCTAACCCAGCTCAACATGCTGCATGTGTAAACAACCATATGTGCCAGAGTTTATTATGTCACATTATTTCATGTGTAGATGTGCCCACTGAGAGGTAATCTACCTGGGAAGTAGCTGAACTAGATTCTTTCCCCATATCTCAGAGTGCCAAGTGAAAAACAAATTGTCTAAGTAATGATATGTGTCTTCAGGCTGGGAGGTCTTGCATTTCCTCTGTTCTTCACCTAATTGTAAATAGTCTGTGATAAGAACAATTACTGTGCACTTATTTCTTTCTTCATTCTTTTCCTG